TCTGAATTCACCTCCAACCTTATTTACAAATTCACACTTATGTGCCAGAGAAAGTTGACTAGAAGGGTGGAAAGGTTGGAGCATCCATTTAATCCTCCGAAAATATTCTAATATCCTGAAACTCGGAGATCCTCAGTTCTTTACCAGCGTCACTGACCGACGTCTATTTGAAACGGGGCACAAAGTGGGTAGGCAACTACAATTACCACTATCAGCAAATCCAACTTCACTTCGATTTGCTGAATCTATTAGTTATTTTTCTTGTATGCCAGAAGATATTATCATTATTCATTTCTATCTGCATACCTTTCAAGTTATTCATGATTTTTCTATATATGACATTTGTAATTAACTAGCATCACTTTTTATATGCACAAAAAAGGAGCACAAAACGTTCTATTTGCATGTAACAACACGATCCATTGAAGATATGATATGTTTACCTCTAGAATAAACATAGGAAACAGTCTATTGAAAGGCGGAGACGTCAGTGTTTGCGTGTTATCATCATGATAATTATTTTTCGCTGACATTTGTTGTACATAATAATTAATCACTGACAAAATCTAGAATAACTTTCAAACAGCAAAACTATCTCTGTCTTAATGATTTTGTAAAGAAACAATAGACTAAGGCAGAGAGAAAGAAAGAAAAAAAAGCGTATTCTCATATTATAAATATTATCAAGTTCTTACTTATTATTTGACTTTCTTTTACACAAGGAAATTTTTTGTTTAGTCGGACACTCACTACTTAATAAATTTTCACTGTTCAGTATTTTGGATGGCTACTGAGTGCATATGCACTCCATGTTTTATTATTTTTTAAATATTCATGATTCTAGCAGAGGACAGAAATGTTATTTCAATCATCATTCATTATTTCGTGGGTAATTAATTAGCAAAGAGTTATGCTGAAGTGATCCGTGTCATTCAATTGATCACTGATTGTCTATTTCTTTCTTTCTTTCCTAACTAGTTGGTTGAAGCATAAATTAAGTTTTTACGAGTTGATCACGGATTGATATCAGTCAGAGAACCATTGAAAACCAGGGAGTAATGGACAGCTGTTACATCCTAGCCTTTTTGGGAATCATCAGCAGTATGCACCCACTGGGATTCGAACCCAGGGTCGCGCTAAATCACGAATTGATAGAAGTTAGAATTCATGAGCCATTGAATCGGGTCCCAGTGGCTGAATGGTATACGAGAATGCCTTGTAACCAGAAGGTCCTGGGTTCGAAACCAACTTTGGTGGGTGCATACTGCCGATGATTCCCAAACTAGGATGAAACAGCAGCTGTCCAGTACTCCTTCCTGGTTTTCAATGGTTCTCTAACTGATATCAGTCCGTGATCAACTCGCTAAAACATAACTAACCGATTCAAACCAAACTATACAAGTTAAGTTATTTAGGTTTTCGATGAGTTACATTAGTTTAGATTTTTTTTGGGGGGTTAGGAATTCAATGATCGAAGTCTGTCTTCATTTGAAGAAAACTGACATTTTTTATTTTGACTATAGCTTGAAACCACACAATATTTTTGGTACAAGTATGGAATTTTCAGCATGCGATATCGGTAGCCCAAATTTTGCAGGCCGACCGTTGATATCAGGTGTGCGCCGGCAGGGGATCGAACACCAGACCATGTGCATGGTCGGCGAGAGTCCTAACCGCTGTGCCACCGACGCACACATAGATGTAAGGGTAGAATTTGAACACTGTGGTAGAGTATAATCCTATATGAGATAAGTTTATTTGAAATAACACACAGTGGTATAGTACTGGTAACTGGATAACACTTTTAGCACAGCTGGTAAGCATAAACATATCAATGTACTCACATGGCTGCATAATTTGCTTTATATATGTTTTCTGTTCCCCCTTTGTTGTTCACTGCAATTTTCCACTCATCCAGTTTACGCCTGGTGTCACTTCAATTGCACGTACTTGGTGTTGCTTCGATGAGCAAAGATTCAGTGATTAACCTATATCTCCACTTAAATGTATTACTTTTTATTAGTTTTGCTCTATACCTTTCTGTTGTGCGATTACATGTAAGCGAATGCAATGCAGTGACCGGGCTTTTTTCCAGGTTATTTAGCTTATCAGAGTAAATCATTCTAGGTCTAGTTCAGTTCCTATGTTCGTGTAATCTAATTGATCCCGAAATACCAGTATGATCTCACAGTCATTGCATGGTATTTGGTAAATTACATTATTTTTCTTAATTGGATCTATTGGGTCCTTAAGTCAACAAAGATGGTCTCTGAGTGAGTTGTTCTGTTCAAATGCCACCCTGATTCCAGACTTCTTAAGAATCCTACGTAAGGCTTCTGACGTTCCTTCTTTATACAGTGATATGCAGAATTCCTAAAAAGGCTGGAATTAAAGTGGTTTATAAACTGAACTACCAGTGTACCCAGATTTATTTCGTGGTTATAGGCCAAGTAGGTTGTTTTATTTAGTTTGATCAACAGAAACTGAAGGTGTGTATTTTTTTTCGAGTTTCTTAGTTTTAGTCTCACTGTAATTTCATTCTAAATAAGGATTTTACTTTAAAAAGATATGGTTAGGTAGTTATTTAGGTAGGCTGATATAGCTGTAGGTAATAAATTATGCACGAAATGTAATCATCAATCAAACTAGCCGATTTTATAATTATGCGCCACACTGAAGCTTATAAGAGTATTTGGGAAGATTCATGGTCCTTCTTAATACTAATAACTATCAAGTAGATTGCAGTCAAAGTAATTAAGTCAAATGAATACGCGTGTAAGACTTGAATATCGTGGTACTGTGTGGTTAGTTCCATGGTAATTTGTTTACAGTGAAACCCTTTTATTTTCTCGGTGACTTCTCGAACTCAGTTTATGGTTCATGAATGTAGAATTTGTGACTACATAAATCTGAAACCTGAGTCTTACAGTTTTTGTTCTGTCTTCTCATTTGTCACAATCGTAGTAGAATTCTCTGGATAATCGAGAAATGTGTTGAATCAAGCCCAGTTGGCTTGATAAATAAAGTTTCAGTTATTAATACCTACCTTGACCCGATCCCATGAAATTTTGGAACTGCAATATTGCCTCCACCTTTTAGTCGGTTGTGAAGTGGTATAGTTGGGCATTTTTCAACATTTCTTACTTTATTAGAGTTTGTCAGGATGTATTTCGCTATTTTCTTTTTGTGTTCCGCTAATCTGATTACGTCAGCCTACTAATTTGATTTACGCATTTGACTTCACAATTATTGTGGAGTTTTAGGAGACCAAGAACTACAAAAATTAAGTTTCGAATTTCTTCGGTGACAATTCATATGATTGTGAACGACAGATTATGTTCAAGACGTCATTCAGCAAATAATAATAATGTTTCACTGTAATAAACCAATTAAAATGAGATAACATGCTTCCATAGTGTCCAAAATCGAACAAAGGTTTATCATTTCATACATTGAAAGACAGAAATCCGAATCACCATACTGATATTCTGAAGACAGAAATATATTTTCCTAAAATCTGTCCTCATTTTTAATATTTATCCCAAATACTAATTCACCATTCATGTTGCTGAATTGGCTAGAATGATTTTGGTTCATTCATTTCAGCTAATGGGCAGCAGAACTAGGATCTAGAAATAAGCTGACCTTTAAGAACTTCATTGGACTTGCATAAAATCTTTATTGGTTATTACATGTATCTGACGATGAAGTATAAGAATTTAGAAGTATTCCCTATTGGTCAAAAACGTGGGTATAATTAATTTAACTTTGTCAAACAGTAAGCAAATATGATGCCTTGTATTTCAAATGAAGTTGGTTTCAAGATTTACAGAAACGTCATACGTCAGGCCATCAAGTGGAACCCTGATGGGAGGTGACAGGTAGGGCGTGTGTCCGTGTGTGACATGAAGGTGATCATGTTGAGAAGAATCGAATGATTGTGGGCATTTGTGGAGCCGGTTGAAAGTCGTTCCTGAGAAAGGAGTGGAATGGATATGTGTCACTGAAGCTTCTAATGGAACACAAGAAATATATAATTATTATAATATTTTATATAATAATATTAATAATAATTTGCTTTATTCCAAAACATTTCACTACAGTATTGTTGCCAGTTAGTACATTAACAATCAATAAAAGTCTACATAGATTAAGGGTAATCTCAGTTAGTTTTGTCAACAACATATTAGCATATCGGTAGCAAAGCCAAAAGTGAACAGAATGTTTGAAGGTGTAGAAAAGTAGATACTAGCATATTTACTGGCGTAAGCGGTAACAAAAGGTCGAGATATACAGAGTGTGAAAGAACGAAGAAGAATGTTTTAATAGAGTTTTTAAGGAAAAAAGAAACAAAGCAGCACATAACAGAAAAAAAGAGAAAAGGAAAAGAAAGAAAACGTTGTACCTATAAATGATATGAGTTGGAAAGACGAGATCCAGTTGTACTACTGACTATTTAATGAATTATAGGTGTCACGCCTAATACTTTCTTGATCGCACAGAACACGAGCTAAATAGGGTAAGGTTGAGTTTTTGTACTTACTAGTGCGAGCATATAGTTTTCTATATAGGCTTCTGGTTCTGCCTGATGAGATACAAGGGGAGAGTTGTGAATGAAGAGAGTGTTGTGAGTTAGATAAAATGGATTTAGCCCATTTTTCACATGAGTCCAGGTGCCTGTCAACCAGAATATTAACAAGCTGGTTAAGTGGCACGTTGCTTACCCTGCTGACAACCTTTAACATCCTGCATAATAAGGAATAGTCTTTCTTCAGTAACCCGGGAAAAACTAAGGGGGAACAATAGAGAATAATAGGCAGGATGCCAGAGTTAACGAATCGTAGGAGTAAGGGTTGGGTTAATCCAGAATGTCTTAACTTATATGCAATCTCCACTTCGTATTTCTTAAGTGATGACTTAAATTTCTGAAATTATTTTAATTCGCACTTGTTTATATATTCGAATGTAACTTTTGATTCATTTTTAACATTCATATTTAGAATTATCCACATATCATGATCCTTGTCAATCCAAACCGTGTCAGAACAATGCTGATTGTGTAAATATTCATGACTGGAAAGGAAGAAGAACGTCAACAAATGGATTGAACACACAGTCAGATTATTACTGTGTATGTTTAAAAGGATGGACAGGACAAAATTGTACAGAAGATATTGATGACTGTGTTAAACAACCTTGTTTAAATGGTGGCACTTGTGAAGATAGACCTAATATGCGATTTTATTGCCATTGTCCAGCAGATTATGTTGGTAAGATTAAAAAGAGTTTAATTACGGTTTTGAAATCTCTTTTTTTTGACCGATTATTTCACTGCAGTTATTGAGCTGTTCATGATTAAAACTTTCATTAAAGTTAGTTGTGCATAGTCAAAGAAGGTTTTGAATATGACTAGATAACTTTATCCAATGATCATAGGACTTAAGCTTCAACGTTTACAAGATGTAAACGCATGGTTTTCTGTAAAATTTTCAAATATCTGGTGGTTTATTAAACAAACACGAATTTGTCTATAGTATCTTCAGTCTGGCTCACTGAGCGAAGATTTCAGTTCAAAAGTGTGTTGAATGAAAAGCTTATGCGAACTAATGGTAATCGAATAGAATGGTAAACGTTGCTACTAAAATAAGTAGTTCTGTGTGTGTGCGAGTAGCTTGATATGATTATGAGCAATAGTTTGTGCTTGAAACGTCATCAGTTAATATTACTGTGTAAAACTGTGTGACTTATCAACATAAAATATTATCTATAATGGAGTTATACTCTACCACAGTGCCGAAGTTTTATACTTATATCAGTAGTTCTGACCGTTGACTTTGTATTTCACGGATAACCGATGATTTGTGATGAGGAAATGTGCATTTTACGTGAATACTTTCATTCATAGACACTAGCTCACTCTGGTGGTGACCTGGATACTTTGTTATTATAATATTATTATTCTTTCCTTGAGTTTTGAGTGGAGTATGGGGCTTAAGTACCACATCTCCATTGGACTTTGTTCTCTAACATCACTTTCAACTGGTTGTGACCTACTTTTGTCCACAAGCTTTAATTTTTTTTGTAATACGAAGTCCTCTGTGTCACCCTAGAATCCACGCCAAACCCGTCGCTTCTCTTTTTGGTTCCATTTCTGTGCCATGCATGTGGTGTCACTTTGAAAATGTCCTTGAAATACGTCTGTTTGTATATTTGTTGAACAGCAGGTTGTTGGATGTTTCTGTGCCTGACAGATTCCCTTGTTGCTTATCTTTCCTGGCCTGTCATTTGATCTTCATTGCCGAGCGAAAGCATCCGTTGATAAGAGTTTGCAGTCTGTTAGACATGTTATAGCTATTCTAATCATCGATAATCACCCCTAAGTTTATTCATATATAGTATTTCTGAAAAAATCTGAGGATTTCGTCTAGGTTTGTAATGAAATGTTTATAAAAGAGAACTTAAATTCTAAAATTAACAAAAGTATCAAAAGACTCTCAAACCAAGATATTGACATCTTTCTTATTAGTGCTAAACCTTGATTTGTATTTCACTAACAATGAATGCATTGTCCTTAGTATTCTACTGCAATGTACTGTCGTAAGGTAAAAGTAGCATAAAAATAATATGAAATAGGTATTGTTTTCACTTGAAAATCGGTAGAGCTTCAAAAGATTTTTACCCGTTACAAAAGGTTTGTAGCTCAGGTGGATGATTTTCATTTGTCCGTGTTCTGTGAGATGGTTGATTTAATTATGAAACTTTCGTTGTCCTTCTAGACAACATCTTTATCCATACAGAATTCAGGAAAGTTCACTTCATAATAAAGTTGGCACTGAACAAGTCGTTTACAAGAACAACGAAAGCTTCGCGATTATACTAACTAACTCAGAAAGTACAACCAAATAAGAAGAATCTTTATTTCTGTTTTTAGCCTTACAGTTTCCTACTTATATCTGTATAGTTTGAAAGTAGTATCGAAAGGCGATCCCAAACAAACAAACGGCAGTTCTAGTATGCAACACATATTTCCTGTTTATTAATAATAATGTATTGTATTCTGTTTCAGCCAAATATAATCTTTGTAGCTTACTGACATTTTCCCCCAGTCGTTCCATATTTGTTACTTGATAGATCATGGTTACCAATGAAAACGAATATTTAACGTTTCATACTGTTCAACGCTGAGCATACCAATGGGCTTACTTATAACTGCAACATTCACGGTCTACTTTAATTAACAGAGTGTGACTTTTAGTGCTAGTGACATCAAAAGATCAATGAGGAAACATATCTCTATTTGATTGAATGACACGGTCAATAGAAGTAATTTACCTCAACCAATCAGTAGATTATGACGATGGTGACGCCCTCTGGTTTTAAATATAGGATGGAACTCGATGGAATAGTTATGCGATGTATCTTTTAATCTGGGTCATCACTATATTGTTTATTGGATTGTTGGAAGTAATAGGTAAAGTACCGCTTACCTCTGATATACTGCTTCCCGTATATCAAGAATAACGTGGACCTAGAGCCTTCAGGTGATGCTAATTTAATGATGCCAGTTTCATACAAGGTGATGATCCATATCTAAAGATGCAAAAATACTTGGTGATTCTAAAGATACATTTTTGCATAAAAAATGCGAACTTATTTGCTCACATTGTTTCAACGAACTTCATTTATCTGAAAGCTGATTTTGTATTCAGAACCAGGATCACTTGGAGGAAACGAGCTGTTAAACCAAGCATATCTTAGCAAAATACAATCCTTGCCTTATTTCAGTCCCTGCCAGTGACTACATTCGAGACAGATTAGTTTGGGATCTAATAAAAAGTCAAGACTGACGGAGTGTTTGAGGCTGAATGTGTGAACAAAAAGTCAACGAAGTGAGTAACCAGTTTCATGTGTTTTAATTCCTTTATTCGACGCAGACTGACTAGTGCCAGCAAGTACGAAACCTGGGTTGAAGGCGGCTTCCTGACGATTACCTTCAACTATCTTATAATAGTCAACCATAATATTCGACGAATGCAGCAGTATTTCAAGAATCGGCAAAATTTTTGAATCAAGGCCTAGTAGCTGAAGGATAACTCATTTGTCTAGTTAAAAGACACTCTTAACTACGATCTTACCTGGGTGTCATGAATGTACACAGATCAACGGTTGCCAATCATAATATTAATACCAATCAGTACTACGTGGTTCTAATATGTTAAACTATATAACACTCAATCCTCATGTGGTTAAAGCCACCGAGTCTCGAAAACTCGTGGTTAGCGTTGTCTTAATGTTTGTTTGCTACAAACTCATTCATATATGGTGAAGTTAGCATGGGAATAGGTGAGAAGATGTGGTAAACCGGCACTAAATGTTATCAACTATTAATGATTTCTTTAGAACTCACCAATTTGGTTACTTCACAAACAAAATTTTTTTACACAGTTCTCCTTGTATCCTTAATTCATCAGGTCAGACATGCGAACATAGAAACCCGTGTCAAATAAGTCCTTGTCTAAACGGTGGCTTGTGTCAATCTGATCCATTTGGTCAGTTCTCTTGTAAATGTCCACGGTGGTATACAGGATTACGTTGTGAAAAGGTAAGTGAGACATTTTCACCAGACAGTTAAAAGCATTTATCTTTACTTTGTATTCATAAATTGTTGTTGCATTTGTCTGGGGATCATAGTTCGTCAAACTGATGCTGCTATGGGTAGTTAAGTTGAGAGTACTGAGAGGAATTAAAGCAGTGGCGTCCGAACATGCCTTAGCTACTGTGCAAATAACAGATTTGATTACGATAGCATAATATTCAGAAAACAACAAAACGTCTGTTTTCCATACTGACCACATAAATCTCTTTTTGTGGTTTTTTAGTATTTAAAACAGCCTAGAATTAGATGTAGCGACATTGTCTTTCTTATTTGGAAAGAGACCTATGGAGTGGTTGTGTCACAGTTTGAGGAATTTCATTAAGTGGGATTCATACAATAAGAACAAAACTATAATTTTACTGAAATAATCACTGGAGTGCGTCGGTGGCACAGCGGTAGAATGCTCCCCGACCACGCCTCATGTGTTCCGGGTTCGATCCCAGGCCGACGCACTCTTTTACCTCGCTAAGGTAGTAATAAGACTGATAAAGAGAGAAGGTTGATTAGGCATGAGGCTAGCGACCCAATCCCGTAAAATTGAACACAAATGCTATCGAAACTTCAAGCCTGTAGCTTGAGGCCCTATGTTCCACTGGGAACTTAAAGGAATAAAAAAATCCTATGAACTCCACAAATATAGTCAACTGGTTGTATTTACTGAATTCTGAGTAGATTCGGTAGCATTAATCATGAGCAGCGCAAAGATTAAAAGTAAAATTGATTATATTCGTTTGTGTTATCAAGTCTATTTAGGAAATTTAGGGAACCTATAGAAGACCTACACCTAATAAGACATTTAACTTAAAATGTCCTGTCTTAGTTTTCAAATAGTTAACGACTAACAATATCAAGTTACACAAAGTGTATTTTCATGCTGATTTGAGTATTACTGCCCAAAGTAAAATAAACAATAAATTTCAGTATTATTCTCTCAGCTTAGAATTCAGAGGCAAGATAAAACACCAAGTTTTGTAATTTCTTGGTAGATGTAGATATTTTAGTACCTTAAACATCTGCAAGAATCATGATGTTAATTGGTTGCAGTCTTTAATTTTAATTATGATTTCTGCCCCTAAACAAGATCAGTTAAACAGTCACTAAAACGAAGAAGTAATGAACAGCTGCCTGGTCCTAGTTTCAAAGTATTTAGTGATGCACACGTATGACCTAACCACGGGTGGAACCCAGAACTTTCAGTTTGGATGAGAATCCCTGTGCTAGATCCCAGCTTGGTTTGTAAGTGTGTTTCATGGAGAAACCTTTCGAACTGCTAACAGGTAACTGTTCGGTACCCCTTAGTTTTCAGTGGTCCAATCTAAATGGTTGTGGTTTGTGGCAAAATCCAACTCGAAGTCAAGCAAGTCTGTTTATGTCACACTTGAAGGTTTGTACACTAATCAAAACTTTATAACCTATTGTGTAAATGATAAAGGAAGATCTTATTAGCCTGTGTAGTAATGTATACTATAGAGATTCATTTCTAATGAAATCCGTTTCCCCTGATAGTTTGTATGTTTCCATAAACTTCATCGTGAAATCCATTTTAAATCTACTACAATAGTAAATGTGGAATCACAGTTTTTTAATTCCTTCACGTTCCCGGTGGAACATAGGGCTCCAAAGTAGAGACTTGAAGTTTCGGTAGCAGTGGTTTTTTATTTTTGCTGGATGGGGTTGCTAGCCTGATGTCAAACTTTCCTTCTTTATCAATCTTATTACTGGTTTAGCAAGGTGAAGGAGTGTGGACCTCAATAATTACACAACACAAAGTTTTATCACATATGCAAACAATGTATTTGAAGATGGAAACCTAATTACACTTACAGAATCACAGGTAATAATGGCTTAATTATGAAGCCAGTCCAGAAATAGGGATACATTAGTTGATGACACTTATGTCCTTATTATAAAGATAGAACTGACAAAACAAACACTCATAAACACTTAATTATGTGTACAGTGTCATTAAACATGATGAGGTAAGGTAGATGGTACAATCGCTAACATTTCTATTCGTTTTCTTACAAAATGATGAGCAAATTTAAGATAACAAAATGATACAAGTGTGGCGCTGAATAATACTTAGTGACCATTCAATTAGTGCTCATTATAAGGAAGACATGGGGGACGACTTTGAGTGCATTCGCGCATACATCATTTGAGTAACAACCAATTAAAAACTTATTTAAAATAAGTATAGGCCCGCCTATTTTTCGAGTAGATTTTGATTACAGGTTGAAATGAGCTGGGGAAGTTATTCACTGCCTAGTATATCTTCATGATTTCTCCAGGGTGCTTGGCTTATGAGGCGAAAATATTATCACTTTTTGAAAGTGCTTTAAAGCAAGTGGAAAGCATATTTAAAGTTCTTCAATTTTAGAGTTCAGTACACTGATAGTGACTCAAACTTATTCAATTCTCAACTGTCTGAATACTTTTCTTGTGTAGGGAAAGGGTTGATTAGGAGCTCCAAACACTGGAAATATATTTTCAGCACAAATAAGCTTAGATTTATCCTGCCTTTTAGAGGGAATACACTATCACTAGCTAACTTGGAGTACGAAAAATCTTGATATAAAAACAAGTGGAGAATTCAGTGTTCTTAAAGCCGCAGATTAAACTTGTGTGTGACAGACAAATGCCTTATGAAAAGCATGTTTGTGTCACTCTCTTCTGAAAGTATGTTGGACGCGTAATGCAGCTTTGCAATACATTAAATAGTCATAAAGCTAAAGATGTAAAGTGCAAACGCTATAAATATTGCTATTCCTTAAATAAATCTATATGTAAGCTTCAACTTCCAATTGTTTGAGTTTAATGCTAGTACTGCTAGTGATAATACTACAGTGATAGTAATGATTTTGTACAGAGTAGAATGCTCAGCTGTGCGTCAGCATAATGCTCTCCAATCATGAGCATTGTCTAGGGTTATATTCCCGGCCGACGTACACCGAAACTTTACTCAGCCAATGGCAAGTCCGGAAGTGAGGGAAGGTTATGCGTTAGTTTGGCAATCCAACCCCGTGAAAAAATAACACAACCACTACTGAAACTCCGTGGCCTGAAGCCCTACCTTTTACTTAAAACGCAAGGAATCAATATAAGAAGGTTCAGTACTTTCATACTGTAATAGATTTGCTTCCTTTATAAGTGAAGTAAAAACAATAACTCCGAAACCTAAAATTTGTCCTAACTAATTAATACTCGACTCACATATTTATGCTTCACTGCTTACTGCCATCCACTATGATATTTCCTCCCGAATTTACATGGAACACAAAAAGAATTGGGCTAGTATATTTTTAGAAATGTGAGGTTAAAAACAATAACAAGTGACTAGGTTTTTGATCAATTAAAACAACTGTGAAGGGAGTCTTTACGAAGCAGTATGTGTTTAATGTAAGAGGGTATTTCGGCAGCCCAAGGTTTTAGCAGGGCACTAAGTTGTATATACTAGACCTCGGTCAAGCTAAATTTCCCTTATCTGTATTGCTAATAAAATTATTTTTCTGTTCCTACTTATTTTATTTTCCAGGAAATCAATCCATGTTACCCGAATTCTCCATGTTTGGGCAAAAATTCAGTTTGTCATTTAATAACATCCAAGAATAGAATAATTTCTGGCCCACCATTTTTAATTCGTAAATCAGAATATATTACAGATTTTCAATGTGACTGTGGCTCTGGTTTTACTGGTCGTTACTGCGATATGAAACAGAATTTATGTCAGATAAACAGTTGTCAGAATGGTGCAACTTGTTTACAGAATGGAGAAAACTACCGTTGTCTTTGTCCCGTAGGTGAGAATATATATGTATATATATAAATATATTTATTTATGTTGAAGATTAAGTTTTTTAAATTAATTATTACTGAAATTGTTATGCTAACCAGATGCAATATTCTGACATGTTGTTCAGGTTCACATTCACTTATTAGCCCAGATGTTTACAGTATACAGTCGAGAGAAAGAGGGAATGGAATTTTATTCTAACTTTCACGTCATTGAATAAAGCTGTAGCTTAATTTCATCGCAAAGTTACTGAGAAATATTACTGTCCAGCTGTCCAGTACTCCAAGGTTTTCGAATGGTTCTCTAACTGATGTCAGCTGATGATGAAATCCTCCAGTCAATCAAACAGAAAAATTCCCTACAAAACCAATACTTGAAAATATTACTGACTTACGCTAAATTGATACAGAACAGCCTGCAAGCCGTCGAGGGGAACCTGATTTAGATGCGAAAAATTGGACGTCCTTGGCTGGTGTACAGGAGATAACGTTAAGATAAATTGGTGAAAGATTGTGGACAGTTATGTAGCGGAGTCAGTGCACCGGTGGTATAGCGGTTAGGACGCTCGCCGACCGTGCACATGGTCCGGGGTTCGAACCCCGGCCGACGCACACTTTTGCCTCGCTAAGCCTGGAATAATGCTGGTGAAGAGGAAAAATTGGACATGAGGCTAGCAACCCCATCCCGTAAAATAAACACTACTACAGAAACTTCAAACTACTAGCTTGAAGCCCTATGTTCCACTGGGGAACGTGAAGGAGAAAGAAAAGGAGAAGAAAAATAAAATAAATAATAAATATGTAGCAGAGTCAACTGAAAGTGATGTTGAACAGCTGAGTGTAGTAGAAGTGGGTAGCAGAATCCTTATTTTTTTCGCTCGGAACGTATGGAATGAATAACAGTATTAATGAGTCACTGAATATTTACAAAATATAATGTAGTCGTTGCATTGATATAATGTGGTAAAGAAAATTTTAGCGATCCAATATTATAATCATGTTTCCTCCGGAAAGATAGATATTTTCTTTATAAATTACTTAAATTAATCCCAGCTTTTTTAAGAAAATAAAAACAGGATTTTTCTGAATGATTAATAAAAATCCGAATAAATCAGCTGAAGAAGCTGTGGCTTACACAGTGAAACGTTCAGAAAAATCCACTTTTGATTTTCTTAAACACGTCGGGATTAATTTAAGTAATTTATAATGAATCAATCTGACTCGGCGCTCAAACTATTCCAGGAAGTTCGTAACACCTACGGTCTGGAAACTTATAATAAATATTTTCTTTTAAGTCCTGTTATTTCTTTTAGAATGAACGACTTACACTTTGGTGTGTACGTTTAAGCGTCCAACAGAATATGATAAATATTATACTGATATAAAATAAAGCTGGAAAGCCTATTAACCTTCAAGTAGAACGTCAATTATTATGATTAAAATGGTAACAAAGTTTTAGTTTTTGTCAGTCAATTTGAAGTGAAAATTCGCACAAAGGTAAGAAGTAGTCTGTTGATTGAGTAAAGCACAGAGAGAAAAGTAATTGACAGTGACTGTTTCTGTAGAACAAGCCGTAGAAAATGTTACTGGTGTAGTGGTTAAATAATGATTTGCTCATCAACATTCTAACCTGTCAACAAATTTTAGGTATTTACATCTGACGATACGCCTATCTAATACTTTATTTCATTACTAGTGGGGAGATGCTTTCAAACAGATTTGAACTAGACGGTTTTGAAAGTGCTACTGAATCGTTACTAGTTATATTTTTATACTTTAAACCTCAGTAATTTTGATCTAAAACTGCTGTGATCACGGAAAACTAATAACTAGTTTTACTGAGATAATATTGAACTAAAATCAAGTGACCCGATTTTTGTTGCTAAATTTTAACTAATTTCAAGTTAGATTATGAACTGACAATGGTTGGACAACCAAATGGAAACCCACGAATACTGAACAGCTGTTTCGTTCTAGTTTTTGATCCCTCAGTGGTACTCACCTATGATTCTACAAGTGATCAAACTTAGAACTTCAGGTTAGAAGATTAGCATGCTAACAGTTCAGCCTATATGCCGGAACCAGATGTCCTGCCCATGAATTCTAACTTTTCCTATTTCTCGTGGTCCATCAAGTCCATGGAAAGACTTATTTTACTTAATCTTGAACCCTCTTTAAAGCCTTTTAATGACCCCAACCAGTTTGCTTATAAGCATAGAAGGTGTACCTTAGATGCCGCTGTTGTTCTATATCATAATATAGTCTCTAGTTTAGATAGAGGAGCTAAGTACGTTAGGTGTGCCTTCCTCGATTACACATCTGCATTTGACTCTGTACCTAGGTCTCTCTTGCTAAGTAAGCTTGCTGCAACACAGGCTGAAAGCTGGACAAATAAGTGGTTGCATTCCTATTTTTCTGATAGGAAGCAGTACAGCGTCTATTATGGGAAGTCCTCCACTACCTCTCTTACTTTAGCTGGTGTCCCTCAAGGTGCTGTTCTTTCTACTTTTCTGTTTTCTTTTTTCTTACATGACTTGCCCCATTCTGATGTAGCAAATTTTGTCAAGTATGCTGATGACCTCTGTGTTACTATGCCTGTCAACTCTCAGTCAGATTGTTCCCAATTAAATTACTTTCTGTCGGAAATTAGTCAGTGGTCCTCTTCAAACGGTCTTAAGCTAAATCCGCCTAAATGTCAGGTAATCAATTTCACTTTCAGACGAAAACGTGACCTACAGCAACTAGCTAGCTCACATGGTCCCTCTATCATTGACGGCATAGAGGTTGAAACTAAATCTACTGTCAAGCACCTTGGACTGAGTATTTCCTTCTATCTTTCCTGGTCCTCTTACATCTTGCTAGTTACTAGAAAGGTGTTTCGCTTAATGTCCTACGTTTGGAAGTTAAGGAAGTCTGGTATAAAGCAGTCTTTGCTTTCTCAGTTTGTCAACTCCTGTATTCTATCCATCCCTCTTTACTGCTCCCCATTAATCTTTCCTGGACTACTTAAGAAAGACTTTGCTTTGCGGAGAAGGGCATTAAAAGCCGTTGATAGGGTAAGTGGGATATCGTTAAACCAACTGGTTAATACTATTGTGGATAGACATATAATGTCATGTAAGAAACTAGCGAATACTATATTTTCAGACCCTGAGCATCCTCTCTAAACGCAGCTCTCTCCTTGCATTTCATCTGGTAGAACAAGAAGCAGTTATAGGAGGCTATATGCTAGGACTACCAAGTACAAAAACTCCACAATACCTTATCTAGCAGAGCTGTTTTTGTTTTCCTTTCTTCGTTACTTTTATATTGTTGTTCACATCTTCTATTACACACTAATTTTATATTTCATATTCCTGTGGTGCATTGTTTAAAATGTGAATGCAACGCTGTTCTGTTTTTTATTTCTTTTTATTTATCTATTTTTTGTTGTTGTTGCTTTTTGTTTTTAAAATCTTAAAAAATTTATGAGGTAATTAGATGCAATATTGTAGTACACGCTGAAAATTCCATACCTGTACCACAAAGACTGTTTGGAATAAAGCTGTTATTATTATTATTTTGAGAATAATTACTTGTCAGTCACACTGTTTAGTGGTGGAGCTATATATCAAGTACTTACGGAGGTTAGAATTCAAAGGCAACTGGATTCTGTCCTACTGAATAATTGGTTGGCGGGCTTGTCCTGTAACCTGAAGGTCCTTGAAATGATCCTTGATTAGGTCATGGTCACTTCTGAAAAGTCCGAAACAAGGATGAAACTGCTTCCCGGTACTTTCTAGGTTTTAGTGGTGATCTAACTGATAAGAATTCGTGGTGAAACTTGAAACCAATCCAATCCCTGCAAAAAGACACTAAAAATCAGCTACTTCGATAGCTTATGACCTTCAGAATACTGATACTCATTTAATATTGCATTATTATAGCTTGACTGAACACAGTACTTTTTGGTAGAAGTATGGAATTTTCCGGATGTGATATAGATAGCCCAAATTTAGCAGACCGACCATGGATATCGGGAGTGCGTTGGCCGGGGATCCAACCCCGGGTCATGTGCATGGTTGGCGAGCGTATTATCCACTGTGTCACTGACGCACACGTTAACTGAACGGATTTCTTGACGTTAACTGCTATTTTATCAAAAGATAAATACAACCGTATATCGTTATATTACAGTCATTAGAAAGTAATATTTCTTTGATATGTAATTATGTGTTCTTCTTTTTCAATATAAAACAGGATTCACTGGAACCTTCTGTAATATACGCGTGAATAATGCCAAACATTTAACTTCAAACTCAAGTATTCGCCTTCCGAATATAACATCAGTGAACGCTGATACGAAACAAAAGTTCAACTTATTCAACGATTACTGTTCTCATATTGGATGTGACAGTGCAAGACCTGGTGATGGTATCTGTCAAGCGAATTGTATTTATGCTAATTGTTTAAATGCTGAACTTGAATTAAAATATGACTGTCAGTATTGGATAAAATGTTTACAGTTAACTGTACAACCTATGCGACAGTATAATCAAACAACTTGTGTAGAACAATTTAAAAATGGTAAATGTCAACCAGAATGTAATCGGAATGAATGTTACCTGGATGGCTTCGATTGTTTGCAATCTGTGTAAGTGTATGTTTTATACTAGTCAGGTTATAGCAAAAATAACCAGAAATTGCTTGAAATGAAGTATTCAGTTTTTGGAAACATACTATGTGAAAGTATCTTTAGTTTTATTGAAATATCTATTAGCCGCACACTTTCAGTTAATGAAAATATGAAGCATAATTTTTTTTGACAGTCTTAGTTCCCACCAAAAATTGTCGGTTAATTACAGTTGTTCCTAAAGTTGTGTCAAAAAGGAGTTTATCACTTTGCCTAAGTTAATTAATATTTGTATTTGTCGAAATACTCGGTCTCTGGTGATACTTCGGCTCGTAGAACAGAAGCTCTGACTATGTCCTAGTCAGGTGACCTGATTTGCAATGCAATGGTGTTCGAAACGATGGGTGTCGGAATTGGGTCTCAGTGGGAACATTGTCACTCACAGGAGAGGCGGGTACATCCAGATGATGAGACTCAAGTATGGGGAAATCAACATCCTGGCTTCTACTGCCAGACACCATTAATCAAGGAAAACGAAGAAGAGTTAAAAACAATTAGTTCCGTTTATGAATTTAGATAAAGCAATATGAAGACGTAATTTGTCTGAATCGTATAATGTATTTGAGCAACATATTTCGAACAATCTGCCAACACACGGACTTGTCCTGTCTCTATAATATGTTTCACAATGCAGGAGCTAAGTCTCGTGTTCTCACCATTAATGGGTTCTGAAGATTCTATTTGCTTCTGGAGCCACTTAGGAATATGCTCTGAAGCCCTTAATTGCAGAGATCGATGAGTCCTTCCTATGTATGTGTGTCCACACGTACATTCAAATTGGTAAATACAGTGGGATGTGACATCATTTTTTGCATGTTCAAAGGGCTAAGATGGATATATGGGCTTCACATTCTCAATTCCTATGATATTAACTGCATAAAATGTCTTTTTAACAGCAGCGTTCAGTCTTTGTCTAGTTCTCAATCTGCTATGATTCCCCATACAGGGTAGCTTGATGCACACGTCTTTCTTAGGGGCGAGTTAAAGAGTGGGTCTTGCTATTCTGGCTACTTTATATAGCCTGGTAAACTTGTCTGGATAGTTTTTGCCATGAAGAGTTTGTGTCAACTTTCTTTCTTCTTCATCAAGTGTGTCTTCAGTGCATATTCGTTGGATTCTACTGAAGAGGCACCTTACTAAGGCTCTTTTGTACCGAACAGGGCAAAAACTGTGGTAATTAAGATACTGTCCTGTCCACGTAGGTTTTCTATAAATACATGTTTTTATTGACCCATCAAGCCGTCGACTGAAAAATATGTATAGGAAAGATAAACAATTATCTTCTTCTTTTACAGATGTAAGTGATATGCTATTCTGAAGTTCACTCATTCTATTTAAAATTGAGGTGGCACAACAAGACTTATCACTGATGACTGCAATATCATCTACAAACCTTCTATAAAATACCTTCTATAAATCCTTCGATAAGTTCTCAATGTGCGACATATAGATATCTGCTAAAAGGCGCCCTAACGGACTTCTCATAGCCACACCATCAACCTGGCGGAAACAGTCGCCTTCAAATGTAAACCTAACATTGCTAGTACATAGAAGTAATAAATCCCTTAAATAAGATAAAGGGAACAGGATGAAAAAATTGTGTGTGGAAATGTAATCACACAAAATGTCAACTGTTTTGAACAAAGGCACATTAGTAAATAACGAGTTTACATCAAAAGAGTACATATTTGTCAAGAAAATTAACCAATTCAATTTGTTTGGTATTTAGACAAAAATAACGAATTAATTACGTATCATAGAGTATCGAATTTCATTACGAGTTTATTCATAAATTATTCGTACTAAAAGCTGAAAACCTGCATTTCTTACTCGTTATATCAAGACTTAAAGTCGGTCGACTGAAGGTCCCAACCCCAAGCATGTGCTGACAGGCAAGCATTAGGGAGATGTAGCTTCAGTCTTGATTTGTATTCATGTTTCATTTAGGCATTCAAAACTGTATCGCTTAATGTAATCTTTGGGGTCCTTAACTTATTCTAGAATGGAAAAACAATTTAAGCTAATTGTTTTGCCTGCTTCTCAGTTTCACCTTAACAAGTTTCAAAATTTGACAATGATCTATTCTGTCCCAAGAGTGCGTCGGTGGCACAGTGGTTAGGACTCTCGTCGACCTTGCACATGGTCCGGGGTTCAAACCCCTGCCAATGCACACCTGGTTGGCCTGCAAAATCTGGGCTATCGATATCAGATGCTGAAAATTCCATACTTGTACCGAAAATACGGTGTGAAATCAAGCTGTAATCAAAAATATAAAAAAATTTCTATACTTGTATGCGATTAACGCATAATAGATTATATGACAAATGAGTGTGCCTCCTGGATGCTGGACTGACATTCTAACATTGCAAGGTCTGAAGCATAATTTATTAGTTTATACAACTATTTACTCATCGTTAGTCACATTGCATTGATTAATTTCTTTTGAACTTTTTGAGACTATTAAAATGACTAATCGTTTTTTGAACTAGTTAATTTCAACAGCAGCTTAGTAACCGAACAGGCAACATGTTAAAAGTTTCTCAACACATTTAATATTATTTCATTATTTTTATGCTATTCTGAAATAACTCCAGTGTACACTTGTGTTTATGCTATATTTTTTCAACGGAACACACGCGAATTTTATTTGTTGTCTTGTTACGCTGATGTAAATTCAACCTATTATGTAACACATGCGTACAATTGTGGTTATTTTCTGTCCTATGTATATCTTTGTAGTTCATTTATATGACTTGAAGGGTGTGGTAATCAAAACAATTTATATCTAATATTGGGAGGAGTGAAGTGAATTAGTTACCTTAGTGGCTTTTTTTACCGTTTGCATAGAGTTACATTTGTGTTTGTTGACTTATGCAACTTTTATGCGAAAATAATTTTTAAGACAAAGTTTTGTTATTTTTCTTTTTATTAGTTTAGTTATTAGACAGATTATAAAGGAAACTGCGTTGATAAATATCAAAGACTGTTCATTAAGGCAATGAAATAGTTCAATAATTTTAATTCTCTTTTTGCCTTTCTCACTCTGAAAAGAAAATCTCTTACTTCTTAGATTTTATCCATAAGTTTATTTTACATTTATTGAGAATACGATAAAGCTTAGATGAAGTTTCTTTGGAGAATATGCTGAATTTAATTTCGTGTGTTATTGAGTTGATAGTGGCTGGCGGTTGAATCCAAGTAGGCTACACCAGTGAACTTCTTTTTGTTCAACTCATCATCGTTGAGGATTGAAAAGTGAAAGTTATTGTAGTCACGAGCACACTACCGGCCATTTCAAGTAATTCAGGTATCAGATATTCAAGAAAATCTTCCAAATAGACTGGTGAAACAGAATTGGAGAGTTTGATGTATTCTTCTTCGCCCAAAAGATGACGGATACGATCAACTGGAAGCTGTAGGCCAGTAAAATAAGATTAGGTTTTTAACCCTAGTGTAAGGACTTCCACATTTTGCCACTACGCCCCATGATTTACATCATGGCAGAGAAATGTGTATCCGTCTGGTTTCTTAACACTATCAGTAGCTGGTACACTTTTACAGGCAGCCTTAGTGATCAGCTTCTTTCTTTGGGGTCTTGCCATCAGTAGGTAGATTTGCGAGTAGTCTGCTTTGTTCTAGGAGTAGGAAAACATTGAAAGACGATTACGCTAACCAGCACCAACGGAATAACGTCGTGTTAGCCTTCAAGTGTCATCAGAGCATGTGTACTAGAAAGTGACATTACATCAGAGACTGAGGGTTCTGGTCCAATGTAAAACAGTCAACAGAAAATAAAGGATAACTCAAATTAGCTGTGGCTAACTGTATATATATATATACCCTTTAAAACTAATGGCGCTACTACTGAGACTTCACAGCTCAAGTTTGGACCTCGGTGTTCCACTAGGAACTCAGAGGAATCAAATAAGTAATAATATTATAACGACAGAAGACAGGAGTCAGGCAACAGATCGTTTATTGAGAAAATCAACGGATATTTATAGATTTTTATGTACATTATTACTCGTTATTCTTAGTAGAGAGGCAACCTCTTCTGATTGGTTGTTTTCCTGCTGAAGGTTATTCTGTCATCTCTTTGTTGCCGTTTCTTAGACAGTCCGGTGATATATATCTACTAATCATATCCCCCCACGGTAAGTCTGTTGTGATTGGTCCTTGAGTTCCTCAAGGTTAGACTTTATTCTTGTTTATTTCTCATGACCAGTATTTGGGACGAAAACACTGGCATAAATTACTGTCTACCAATTTCGGCTAGCAGACAGTTCTCACCACAATAGTATTCAAGCGGATCAGATAGGCTCATTTTACAAGAGGAATTTCGGGACTGTATTTCTCTTACATCAAGATTTCTTTTACTAAAATAAAAATCAGTTTTTTGACACAGTATTTTCTTTCCTTATTTCTGTATTTATTTTCTAGATGGCTTACGCCAACCGGCTGAGTCACCTGTTACATAAGTTATATAAATAGTTTTGCCTTATTGTTATGCCTATTATTGATTCACTCAATCGTTTTCAGGTCACATTGTGAACTCTCTGACTCATGTCTGCAAACATATGGTGACGGTGTTTGCCAGAAATCCTGTAACACATTTCAATGTGGAAATGATGGAGGAGATTGTGACAATGGGTCGAAAGAAGAAGAAAGTCATAATTATGTAAGAAAATATGTTCTATTCTACTTGAACACAAATCAATCACAATTTATGGAAAATCGTAATCAATTCTTAGGCAATTTAGGACAAATTCTTCAAGCGCTTGTAAGAATTGCTAAAGATGAGTCTACTGGTGAAGATTTAGTTGAAGATATTCCAAGTAAATACCAATTTAAGGTAAGTGATGACCAGTTTAGGTATTAATTGTCATAATTAAGATATAGATGTGATATTTAAGAGGCTTCGAATACTTGAGTGACTAGAATCTGTAATTCGTTTTGGTACTGTATACTTAATGAAGTGAATTTACTTGCAGAATATTCGGGTTATTTTGTGTATGGTTGCAAGCAGTGGAATCAAGGATGCGCATTTCTTCCTACTCTGGACTCATCAGCTAGATACGCCAGCAATGTTCAGTGAGTGGCGTCGTTTCCCTGAGACACAAAATCGCTTCGAATGACAAAGTGTTACTCACTAGACCATCTAGGCCAAAAGAGCCACCTCTTGTGGGACAGCGACCAGAAGTTCATCCAGTTGATGAGTTTCAAATGGGATGAAATGAGCATCCTGATTCCACTATTAATCCCCATCCACCAAATTAAACCAGTAATAATCCTCAATTTTCATCGAAACGTCCCGATAGGAAGCAGATATATCAACATCATTTCAGTTCACTCAATTAACAGGACAAACAAAATTAACTTAAACAAAATTGCTGACTGAACCACTAAAACAGTTATGTAAAAGCTCGTGGTTTGAGTTATTGGTTTTATAGTATTCAGTGCTTTAGATGGTCTTCGTAGGAATTTTTCACGGTCGAAGCTTCTGAAATAGCAGTAAAACATTTAGAAGAAACCTAAGATTTTCACACATGGAGCCTAAATAACATTCAGTTTAGTCATATTAAAAAGAGATTATAACTATAAGCAAAAATACCAATCCAAATCTGTTTAACCACATGCAATTGCATGCAGAAGTAACAAATAGTCTCATTTGGTAGCTGAAAAGTTACCGCTTCGCATCCATTAGTGAGTACTCTTTAGAGGAAAAATGAAAGACATACACCTTGTGAATCTCACTGTCACTTCCCCGTGTTTATCACAACCAACTTAAAGGCAAATTTTTGTACTGACAAAGAAGAAGAAACGTATTTGCAATCATTCTGTTTTAAGGAAAGATTAGGTAATTTCAGTGATAACATCAGAGCTTCATCATATAACACCAGGTGGAACCTATGGCTTAATTTTGCAATCTATTATGGTCAAAAATAGGCGTTTCTAACAAAAGGTTATTGGAAAGACAGCCTTAAATTACAGTTCAGTCTGGAATGCATTGATTTTAAAGGAATTATATCGTGATATTAGATGAGTGATGGGTTACGTCAGTAGAGACCTGTTTTATGTTCAGCAAGGCAACTTATTAAAACCCAGGTAGATCCATATTTCTATTTCAGTGGTAACCGTAAATCTTCTTTACATATTATTTGTAAAGAATTCGCACTGTGATGTCTGGGTAAACAGTTTCATTATATTTTGACGTACAGCGTTTGACAGGATATAGATGCTGTTTCTGACTTTGGCGTCTATATACAGTTATGAACTTAGATTCTGTCTTAAACTCTTCCGATGAACAGTATTTGGGATAGTAATTATGAAGGCGACAACTAGTGGTGTCCGTCAAGGATGCCCATTATCCCCATTCCTATTCAACTTCATCATAGACGTACTAATGGACTTAACCCTAACTGACTTCAGCGACTCAGGGATTGACTCGCTACCAGAGAATAATCTCGTTGACTTAGAATATGCAGACAACATAGTCCTTCTAGGCGAGGACGCTGACAAAATACAGAGTCTTCTGAACACCTAGGGCTGCAATCTATGAATGTTTGGCATGAGATTCGGTCTAACCAAATGCAAGATGATGTTACAAGACTGGACTACACCGACTCCTAGATTAGAAATAGGAAGTGAAGTGGTAGAGCACGTTTGGCACTTCACTTACTTGGGAAGTACCATCAGCCCCAACGGGTTGATCTCTGACGAAATCTCAGCACGAATACAGAGGGCTAGTTTCGCATACGCCAGTTTACGCCGTCTCTGGCGTAGACGTGATATTCGACTATCGACCAAAGGGCGTGTGTACTGCTCATCAGTCCGCTCCGTCCTCCTTTGTGGCTGTGAGACCTGACCATTGAGAGCAGAAGACATGAAAAGATTAGCTGTCTTCGATCATAGGTGTCTGCGTTCTATCTCCCGCATGAAGTGGTATAATAAGGTGAGCGATATTGAGGTTAGGCGTCGAGTGGAAGGTAAGGAGGGGAAATCAATCGACGAGGCTGTGAAATTACATCGACTGAGATGGTTAGGACATGTGTTATGCATGCCTAGCTATCGCCTTCCTCGACGGGCAATGTTAGCTGGCATAAGGTCAGGTCGGAAAAGAGCTAGCGACGGTCAAACGAAAACATGGCACCAGTCAATGAAATCTACAACAGTTAGTTTAAGCCAGCCACGTAAGAAGGTGTAAACTGCTGTCTGGTTGGAGTCCCCGGGACGGTAAAAACCAATGGTTGGAAACAATTGGTGATATGGCTCAAAATCGTTCTCAATGGCTAACGCAGATGCAACCACTCCTTGTGACTTATCATTTCCAATGAAACTGTTTGCTGTCTCTAATATGCATTTCTCCTACTTTCTTCTCTTGCTTTGTGTGCTACATGGAGTGTGGCAACTTGAACTGCCGCACATATGTGGAAAGTTCTATGTCGGAAACAGACAGAGAGACAGAAGGCGAAAGACATAGAGTTTTAAAATATGTCCACAATCATTTTTCGGGGTATCCAAAAGAAATAAATGCAGTTGATATGAGTATGAATGGGATCTTTGTGCTGAAGAAACCTTTGGATTAAAACTGAAATCGGTAGACACAAAATGGAATTCCGGATAACTGTTTATTTCACTTCAGAGATTTACTCTGACCGCTTTATTATGTGACATAGAAATCTTATTTATAAGTCGTAAAGACTACTGACAATCCTGCTTATATCCGAATCTCACATTTCAAATGTGTTGTCTTTTTCAGTTACTTTTGGAAGTCATTAGTCCGTCATCACCATCAAATTTAGTGTGCAAAGAAACTGACACACACTTGTGTACAAATCCGATTGTTCTGCTACTTAAAACAAACGAGTTAAAAGATTATATTTTAGCTGCGTTGACTACAGTCAAGTACAGATCACTTTTCAGCATCAAATACTTCACATTTGTTGATTCTCCGAGTCAGTCTCACTTTAAAGCTCCATGGGAAGAAGATACTCCACCTAAAACAAGGATTTCAAAGGAAGCTATCGGTCTTTATGTTTGTATATGCATTCTAGCCGGAAGTAAGTGAAGTGTTTTGTTGATACAATTCTGGTATTAGAGTGTCATTCAAAAATGCTTTTTCCAGCGTGCATGTATACCTGGATGCGTACAGTATCTTTTCTTGATGTGTATTTATTAAATAAATAGATTCATGTTATTGTCATTTTATGTAACTGTGCGTCGGTGGCACAGTGGTTAGTTCTCTCGTCGACCATGCACAAGGTCCGGGGTTCGATCCCCTGCCGACGCACGCCTGATATCTATGTTCGGCCTTTAAATTTGAGCTACCGATATCCGTGCTGAAAATGCCATACTTGTACAGAAAATACGGTGTGGCATTAAGCTGTAATAAAAAAAAGTAATAAAAAAAGAATACAATTCTTTTTCTGGCGACTTACAAGAAATGACTCAAAAAAGGCTGTGTTAATTGAACTCAGAGTGAGCTCAAAGATAAAATGAGCGAGTGATAAAATTCCCTAAAATGTCTACAGCTCACTGATTTAGGCGCTTGACTGCCATTCAATGGGTTACGCTCTAAAAGCTGATGCCTGAACAGCCGCATTATATCGTTAGCCCTTAAACAAGAGGCGGAGTTCATCGCTAACTGAATGTATATGCTTTCTTCTCTTTATCTTAAAGTTACGGCCATGATAAATTGACATTTATCTCTTCAATATAAGCTACTGCTTTATAGAATGAACGAAAGAGTACGTCAGTGGTGCCGTTTTCGCAATCTTATTCAGATTTATTGGTTACTGGATTTCATCGTGAGCTGACATCAGTTAGAGAACCATTGAAAAACCACCTGGGATTACTGAACAACTGTTTCTTCCTTCCTAGTTTAGGACTTTCCAGAAGTACGCACTCACCGCCGAGGTTAGAACCCAGGATCTTCTGGTTACAACTCGAGATCGTAGACCATTAAGCCACTGGGACCCAATCCAATTACCCATGAATTCTAACTTTTGCCAATTAACGACATAGCGTGACAGCTAGCCAGTGTCTTCAGCGAGTATTTGTCTTCACACTTGACCTAATGCACCCTACTGGTCACGAACCCATTGGCTTAATGGTCTACGAGCTCGCCTTGTAACCAGAAGGTTCAAGGTTCGAACCCCAGTGGGTGCGTACTGATGAAGAGTACCAAACCAGGACGAAACAGCTGTCCAGTACTCCCTGCAGGTTTTCCAATGGTTCTCCAACTGATGTCAGCTCATGATGAAATCCTGTAACCAGTCAATCAAATCCCTGCAAACCAATACTTGATTCTGATTTAGTTTTGTTCTTTGAGCTGATTGATTTAATTGCAAAACTTTCTTGTCTCGCTTGACAAGGCTTTAATATGGCGTGAACTTATTTGAATTTTGCACGTATGATAAAATTGTATTTCCTGACAACCTTTATGGTGATTGGTTGTTGAAATACGTCTCTACTTATTGATAACATTCAAATAGATGACAAGGAAATCATGGTTTCCTTTGGGGTCACAGAATTATACACCTCAAATATTCCTAAAGTAGCGAAAGAAACCGTACAACAACACATTGTGTGTGTATGTGATGAATACACAAAAACATAATGTTCAACTTGGATGGAACTCATAGAATTGTGCCTTATATTTTAATTTCAAAACAGGAAATATGAAAACACAGGTGTCACAAAGGAGTGTGAGTGATTTTGTGGTCGCCATCTCTCTTGATTACAATGCTGCTCCAGACAGGACACTATAGCTGACTGGTCACTTGAAAATATCTGCCAAAACTAGGATAGTCGCAGAAGTGAGATTTAGCTGCGACAGCAGCCTTTACTATTCACAACACGAGGTTTATCTCGTTTTCATTTCGACAGGAATTTAAACCATAAATAGATAATCAATATTTGCAGAATTGGATGACCTTGAAGATCCTTCAAAACAATCAATCGGAAACTGTCCCATCAGGTTATTTGGTTGGTGCATACATCAGTCATAACTTCACAGCTAACGAATATAGATTGTCCGTCCTAACCCCCCCTTTTTAATAGATTTTCAGTTAAAGGATCACTAGAGGATATTCTTAAGTCTGAGTACTCTCCGTCCATGATAGCAATTATGCAGAAAATCAACACACAAAGGTGATGCAATTAGCTGTAACAGCAATAATTCAATGACTCACAAAAGAAACTGTGTGCGAACATCGTTTAAAAGATTTCAAACACACCGTGGCAGTCCAGTACAGAAGAGAATTTACCAACAGAATTTACCAACTGTTTTCCAGAAAACTTGATACCCATGCAATTTCATCAAATCGGAATACTTACAAGAAGCCATTCTCAAAGACCCCGAGAAAATTCACCCTAAGAGATATCGAGAATATGGCTAAAATAACGGCTAGAATACTATAATCATTTGAAATAGACGTGGACTCACAAGACAACAGAACCACTTCATTTAGTTCAAATGAACTGTCGTCAAGATTTGACCGAATAGTTCTAAAATATTTGGGCGCCGAGTGAGAAGTAGACATTTGTTCATACAATTTTGTTTATTATACTTGTTAATACTTGTGTTTATGAATCATGATTGGACGAAGTTTTTAAAAACAAAAGGTGTGCCTTTTATATATAAAACCTCTGTTATGTTAATTTTGATTAATTTCCCTGAAGAAGTTCGGACCAGATTGCCGAACGAAACGTTGGAATTACTCATTTCAATCTCGCTGAGACTTTACAAATAAAATTTTTTACACTTCATTTAGTATTGTGCAGACTAAAAGATCCATTAACAAAATAAGACAAGGTCAATACCATTTACAAAATTAAGTGGTATAAGGTCCGACAAGTAGTACATTGGTCATAGCGAGCATCCGCACTGACTCAGAATCCGGGAGCATAAATTAGCTATCAAAAGACACGATATGTATTCTTTCATATTGATGCCTGCATACAGTTATGGACACCAGTTTGATTGGGATAATGTAGGAATTTTAAATGGCGGACACCATAAAACTGTCAGGAAATTCCTATCAGCCTGGTACTCAGATAAATTAGCGATTAGCAGACTCAATACTATACATCAAATTTACCAAAAAAGCTCAAACTCCAAGTCAATAAAAGGTATTTAATAGAGATATAAATTGACAACCAATCACCCCAAACATTGTCGGGGACACAAATTTATCTTTCCTGAGGAATTCCAATAAGTGCACTTCATATGAAAGCTTGTGTGTTGAAGATGTCTAGCACAGAGAACAAAATCAAATCAATATTCTCCACCTAGGCTGTAAACCTATTCTACTATATCCAAACTGATTCTTTTTTCCACTTCCAAAACTTATCAATAGAACGGGATGTATCAAAACATATCGTTTTTAAACTGACGAAACTAACTATCTTAGTTAATACTTAAAGCAGCTCATTGGCCTCTAATTCTTCTGTTGTAAGTTTAACCTCATTCTAGTTAAAATGAATGAAGTAAAGGGAGAATGGAGAATGATACAAAGTGCAACTCTGTTTCCGAAATTCTCTCACTCAGTTTCTCTTAAAAATGAACAAGTAGACGTTAGCACTATCCTGGTGTGTTTTACTGTGACCTACAGTGCTTCACAGGTATTATTAATCTGGAAATATTTGCAATATCTACTTGCATCTGTTATATTTAGTATATGTTGATTATATCCACATATTTTTTACGGGTTGATCACGGATTAATATCAGTTAGAAGACCACTGAAAAGCAGCAAGGAGTACTGAACAGCTGTTACATCCTAGTCTTTTCGGGAATCATCGGCAGTTTGCACCCACACTATGGGGTTCGAACCCATAACCTTCCGGTTACAAGGCAAGCTCGTATACCATTCAGCCACTGGAACCCGATTAATGGTCAGCCCATCATTTCGTGATTTAGCGCAACCACCAACCAATGTCGTCGATGGGACATCCATCCTTACACGTGATATCTGGATAGACCTCACTGGTCACGACTTCTCACTAGAACTCACTCCAAGAAACTCCATCCTGTAGCAAGTCACTAGTGAGCATCAGATTAATTTTCTTATATATATATATATATATATATATATATATATATATATAATATCTATGTATGTTGATTTCCAATTATGCAAATAACTTATTACTTTAGAAGATACAATTTGAGTGACAAATTAAACAGACTGTAAAGGGAAGTCAAAACATTTTCAATATATATGCATGAATCATGCTCAAGTGTACAAAATTTATGCATAATTCTATTACTGTTTGTCTCTCTGTCTCCATCTATCTCTCTCGGTAGTTGACCTCTAGTAAAGGATTATCTTCATTCTGTATTCTCGACTGAACACTGTTGTTTTTTTTAAAAAACTAAATTATAATTAAGAGCAAAATATTTCTAAAGATCAGTGGAATAAATAGATCGTTAATAATAAGAAAAAAGTATTTTCAGACGCATACAATTTCATGAGAGAAACACAAGCCTACACTAAAAAACGAGACATGAATTAATGAGATCAACGAAAACAGTCTCAGTTTATTTTTGTTCTTATATATTTAAGATTCCTCAATGAATATGTGTGTTTGAATTGAGTCAACAAAAAAAATAAGTTTCGAATAATTAGTGTATTTATTGTAGATGCTAAAACCTTTTTTTCTCTCGTGTAATAGGCGGAGATGAGAATAGTCCACAGAAAAGTGAGCGTACACATCATAGTAAGGTGAAAGTAAAAAAATAACTAAACTTTTGAAGGGATATCGAAGTTTAACTCACTCTACTCAGATCATATTTTGTTGCTAAACTTTAGTTTTCAAAGGTTAAGTCTAACCTGGATTGATAATGAACTTCTCAATATGGAGATTATAAAAAAACTAGAGATAATCTTATGTAGATTACGATTAATTATCAGGATTAAAACATGTTGCTTACATCGATAATACACCTTCTATCGATTGTTAGTCTGTTGATGCTGATTCATAGTGGAGTTTAGGACGCATGTTTCCTGCCTTTTTAGAGTCGTCTGGTAGGTGTATATGTGCCCCCAGTAAGTGAT